CCCTTCACCTTCACCCGTCGAGATAAGTTTTTAATCTCGCAATACTGTGCACCTCTTTCACCCTTCACCTCCACCTGTCGTGATTTATCTTGTATCTCGCTGANGGGCGACCCTAGTTTTTTGTAACTGTGTACCCCTCATTTTTGGCGGCCCCTCCATTTGTTTTTAGTCTCGCAATCCCTTTCACCCTGTACCATCACTCCTCGAGATTTGTTTCTAACCTCGCAGTACTTCTCACACCTTTCACCCTTCACCTTCACCCGTCGAGATATGTTTTTAATCTCGCAATACTGTGCACCTCTTTCACCCTTCACCTCCACCTTCCTCTTACTTCGCGGCGCTAACGCGTGAAACCCTGGCATTGCCATTGCCTCCATTGCCATCTTCTGATATGCGCTTAGGCGCCTTTCCCCTGCCTCCGAGCCTTTCGTCAGACTCCTTCCCCGACCCGCAGAGATATGACTCTCCCACATCTCTCTGCCCCGATCTCCCGTGATGTGCGTCAGCCCTTTTGCTAGACTTGAAGACACACCTTTTTCCAAGTCACCCACCGCCGTTTCCCCCTTTCGCGACACTCTTCCCCCCCCAGCGTGCGCAATACCCTCATAACCCCTTTTGCCCTCAGACCTTCCACCCTTTCCCCCAGAGACCTCAGCCTCTGTCCGTTGTGCATCCTCGGATGTCTGCTGTACATTCTTAGATAGCACTTCCCTTGTCTGACGTGAGTCCCCAACTTCAACGTCTCCACCCGACCTCTTTTTCCCTTCCTCCCGAGGTCTCTCTGTCAGCACTTCCCCTTTTTGCGACACACTTCCCCCCCCAGCGTGCGCAATACCCTCATAACCCCTCTTGCCCTCAGGCCATCCACACTTCCCCCCAGAGACCTCAGCCTCTGTCCGTTGTGCATCCTCGGATGCTGTACATTCTTAGCACTTCCCTTGTCTGACGTGAGTCTCCAACTTCAACGTCTCCACCCGACCTCTTTTTCCCTTCCTCCCAAGGTCTCTCTGTCAGCACTTCCCCCTTCCCTGACATCGCTTGAGCTGCCGACTCATCCCCTCCCGTCGACAACTCATCCATCCCACCGCCCTTAGAACCACCACCACCCCTGTGGTCCGAGTGCCCAACCGTCCCTTCATCGCTGTTCACTTCCCCCCCCTCACCTCTCTGTGCCATGGGAAGAACACACCGCAAGCGGTGCGCTAACCGCGTGACCCGTCCTTCGGTGCCAGTGACGTGGAATCGGCCAGTGGTGGCCTATCGCGCGTAGATATATGTGTAGATGTGCCAGTGGGGTCGTGGGTTTGCGCGTCTCGATGTTGCTTGCGATCAAAGTGTGTTTCTTAGGCCTTCGTGGGCTGGGAACAGCAGGGAAATTGAACACTGAAACAGGGGGGGCACGCGACAACGCGACATCAGCTGACACGAGCTAATTGCGCCGCTTCCTCTGTATCTACCTAATTGCGCCGCTTCACTGTCTCTCCAACTCTCTCCCTCTCTCTCTCAACTAACTGCAATTCCCTCATAAGCTCATCATTCCAACCATAAACCAACACCTTCTCAATTCTAGTCTCCACCTCATACTCTTTCTTGACCTTCCATTCCATCACGCCTTTATGATATATACTGCGATTAAACTACCCCAAGTCTTCTTACA